CTGAACCAGGACTGATCCAGGACTGATCCAGAACCTGTCTCTTATACACATCTAGATGTGTATAAGAGACAGGAGAGAGAGAGAGAGAGAGAGAGAGAGAGAGTATATAGAAAAATGGCAGACAGAGGAGACAGAGGTTGAAGACGACACAGCAGAAATGGCAGAGGCTAACTCAGGTTGTTGGGGATCCCTATGAATTACTCTCTCATCGCCCAACTTCCAGACCTACAGCCAATGTGTATCCCCATGAAAAAAACATGACTATGTACCATGTACCTGCAAATCCTCAGTGTTGCAAGGCGGGTAGACTCTGTGAATAACTGTTTCGTTTCCCCATAGGCGGCGGATATGGGCCTCTGTCCACCGTGAGTTCACCATGACCACGTCCGCACACTGACCCCCCAAGCCATAAAGAAGTGCAACATAGCGGTAGTAGAGCAGCTTTCCAAAAGAGAGTACCCAACTGCACACAGCACATCACAACCCATGTTATTACAAATCATTTCTGGTACAAGTGCGGAGAAGAAGAAAAACTCAGTGAGAAGGGAGAGGAGGAGACAGTGGTCGAAGATGGAAGCAGAGGAGTGACGGGGAGAGGGTCAAGCAGGCAGGCAGGCACAGGAGGGGAGTAGGCAGAACAGGCAAAGAAGCAGGGACCAGAGCAGAGGTAACAGAGGGGGTGAGGCGATGAAGAAGATGGGGGAGCAGCTATGGTGAAAAAACAGGCGTGGAGCAGTGATAAATCCTCCCCACAGGGTAGCAATCGATGCCGCTGTTTCAGGTTCTCTTTACCATAACGGAGAGAAGCGTTCCAGTAAGCCCATCTGAGCAAAGACTGTTTCTTGAAAAGAAAAAACAAATGGGGAGATACGGGAGATGGAGGCGGCAGAGAAGGCCCAAAGCAGAGGAGGCGGAGCAAGAAGAGGCAGGGCAAGCAGAGGAGCCCGAACAAGTCGAGGAAGCAGAGCAAGCAGAGGACACGGAGCAGGGAAAGCAGGGGGAGCAAGCAGAGAAGGCTGAAAAGGAGCGGCAGGCAGAGGCTGAAAAGGCACAGCTGGCAGAGGAGGTTGGGGAGGCAGGGGAGGCAGGGGAGGC